AGCCAGTGAATTAGCAGGTTTCACTTGTTGCTTTGCACAGTGCGTGACATTTTATCTATGTTACGCGGCTAGAGTTTTGACACCGAGTCAATGGGCTCTGTCTAATTCTTGCTTTTTCGCTTGTTTATCGTCATTGGTATTTTTCCTTTTACCCGTCTTTGTTTAATGAGCAGGTGCTCGAGAAATTGCCAGTTTAGGTTGTTTCTCCGTCATAAGCACAGCTGCGGCACACCGGCAATCTTGAGTTTGAACGACTGGTACACGCTGTGCAAGAGAGGGGTGTGATCAGCGCGTACACGAGTGTGATTGACACTGCTAAGACATTCCTCCTGGCTCTGATTGGTTGTTTCTGACTGGGAGCGGAGTATTTCTGCAAATGGCAATAGGACCACTGGGAGGAGCCAGAGGAGCTTGATTTTTTCACAGAGTATCTGTCTCATATTCTACAGTCAGGACATAATGACAGTTTTAACAAATATGTAAAAAATATTTTTTTTACAAAAGTTACCTACAGCAACTTTAACTAGCACTTTCTTGATCAATAAACATCACATGATGACCATGCTGGTCAACTGCTTCATCAGTTTGCCTGGTTAAAAGCTTGACTGCTCATTAAATAGTGAGACCAAAGTGAAATACTGTATGATCAACACGGCTGCTCTAGAGACTTTGTGCATCTCAAGGCCAAATCAGCAGTATTCAACAGGGAGCTAATTATGAGATTGATCTTCACCATTAATATCTGTATCATCATAATTACTGTACCTTTGCACAATTTAATTATCCCTTTGTCTCTAAGGATGAGTGAAAAGAGATCTATAAACACAGTATGATGGGGCGAGGTACTTCCTTTTTATTAGAAACTTTATTAGAAATGTACACATTCATGCACATACACATATCCATATCCGGTATCTAAGAACATGCAAAAGTAATCTTTTACGTGCATAGCATGTACGCAAAATTTACCAGTTGGGTAGAATTGTCTGGGTATGTATATTTCTTATCATATGCATGCAAAAAGTGCGTATTTTATGTATGCTAAAAAATGCATATTGGATAAAAGGTCATTTAAGCTTATATAAAGAGCAAGCAAAGCTCGATCGGTCACATTCTCTGCTCCCTTTCTGTATACAGTTCATTCCAGTTAATATAATTTATTCATCATGCTGATAAGATTATGTGTCTTAATTTTCTAATGCGTAAAAAGCATTAATATAATTCATAATTTTATCTGTGGGCCTATAGCCAGAATATGATGTGCAGTTTCCCAAAAAACAAACACATTTTTATGTTGCCTATTCCTATTGTAGAAGTTTGGTGGAATTTTATTTACTGAATGAGATTGATCAGTATTGGAAGCACAGTTGTTTTATTTATAGAACTACAGAATAGCACTTATTGCCCTTACATTTCCCCCAAAGATGTTAAGATGTCCTGTTTTGTATTACGAGAAATAAAAGCTGTTAAATATATTTCCATGTGTCACTCTTCACAGTTCCTGGTACAGTAGTCCATGCTGTAAATGGCTGATTCAGGTGTTTAAAAAACAAAAAGTGCTTCACTCTGGTGTGTCCTGCTTTTTTTCACTCGCACAATCACATCCCTGTATATATTTCAGATATGCTGTGTTCTAGACTGTGAACATACCACAAGTGGTAGAATGACTTAGAACATTTAAGTAGCTTTTATAAACGTGCCTTAGGAAAAACATCACTGGAGTGCATATTGAGACAAAACAATGGCACTGACAACTTTAAAGATATGCCAGTGCAAGTTGCTTTTAGATAAAACAGCTTAAACATACATTTTAATCTGGGACTATATGGGTGATAAACATTTAAGGGGTCTTAGTATATAGCAATTTTGTTTGTTCTTTATTTTCATATAAGAACTTGAACTTGAACGTGTATCAGATAATATACTGTATTAAAAAAAAAACAGAATTGAATCATTAATCGAAATCGAATCGAATCTCATTGTGAATCAGATCAATACATTATTTGCAAAAATAGTTCCTGAATCGAAACGAAACCCTGTGACTCAAATCGATTATCTGTCTACCCAAAGATTCACACCCCATACCTTATGCACAAATCCATGCACACAGTCACAAGCGTACAAACACAAAGGGAGAGAGAATGTGATCTCAGACAGTTGCTTAATATGGGGAGTGATTTTTGTAACAGTCACTGTGTTAGTGCCACTTAAACGGTTCCAAGAATCTCAAATCCACCATGAAGCCCAGATTCATACTTCAACTCCCTGATAAATCCCCCGAATGACACAATCCAGCACATTCAGAGTGTCTGCGTGTGAGCAGCATCATGCGTAAAAGGGAAATACTTCAGTTATCATTGGTCTCATCTCCAAAATCAACATTGCTGTGTTGTTGACAGAATAACCAAATGAGTATCTATCTCTCCGTCTACATTAATAATACAATCCTTTGCTAATTTTATTGCTCGTATAATTGGAATAAGCAGGATTCCTTCAGTACTCAAAAGTCAAACACAAACTCCCACACTCAAGACTCCCGTTGCTCACTCTGTCCTTCAACTTATAATAGTTCGTGTCTCCATTAGCAGTAGAAAAGAGTCGTTCAAGCCCTTAAATGGCTCGCATTCATTCCAGCGTTCCGTAACAAAGACAAATCCCCACAAGAACTCCAGCCACCAGCCCTGGATTTCAACCTCACAAATAAATGACAATTACACAGCGTGGCGTGTTTTGCTTGGGCTGGTTCCTTTCTAATGGATCCTGCTGTATAAATAATGACTGTGTTTTGGACGACGCCTCCAGGGTCTTGTGGAATAGGGCAAGGATGAATAAACACAGAAAGCTATGAGAGACTTTACCTAAGGGACCGAGGTTGGCAAGGCGGGCTGCTGTCAATCACCTACGTAAACACATAAAGGTAAAAATACATGCATACAAGCACACCCAAAACAGATTACACAAACTACCTGTCACACATCAGCAGACACACAAAGCCTACACATTCTCACACGTACTCTATTCGTGCCATTTTAGGTCTCGTGTGACGCGAGTTTCTTGGACCGTGGAACATTCCACAGATGCCCATGGCCAAGGATGTAAGCCGGAGTGATGTCATTGCTTTCAATAGGGCGTGGCAGTGAGCTGGCATAGTGATTTAGGATGTGGTGTTTGAAAAGCATGGTGCTATATGAATGCTTTTAATCAGAACTGTGTATACAAGCAAGAACAAACATGGAGAAGGAAGAAAGCATCTGTAGAAGAAACATGCTGGAACCGGTTTGTAAGCAGCTAAAAATAAAAGCCAGCATGCACACTGGCCACTCATGAAGAGATGTGTGCAGTGCACAGAACAATAATAAAAAAAAGTACATGTTTTTTATTAAAAGATATACCTTTATTCAGCAAGGATGCATTAAATTGATCAAAATTGACAAAAACAAAATAATACTGTATTCAGTATTCAAATAAATACTGTTCTTATGAACTTTCATCAAATAAAAAAAAATACTCACAGGAATATTAAGCAGCAAAACCGTTCTCAACATGAACGGTTGCACTTTATTTTACGTCCACCTACAGTCTACTTACCTAAGAAAGTACTGGGTAATATAACATAGGTTATGGTTACGTTTAGTGTAGGTTCAGGGTTAGTACCTAGTTATTACTCAGTTAATGCAATTACTATACATGTACATGGGGAACAGTAATGTAAAATAACATGCTACCACATGGACAATAAAAAAAAATGCTTCTTGAGCACCAAATTGAAAGATGTCTGAAGGATCAAGTGACATTGATGAGTAATGGCTGCTAAACAAAACAGCTTTGCCATCTCAAGAATAATTTACATTTATATATATTTTCAAATAGAAAACAGTTATTTTAAATTTTATTTCCATTTAACAATATTACTGTTTTTGCTGTTTTTTTGATCTAACAAATGCAGCCTTGATGTAAAAACATTAAAAGATCTTAACAACCTCAATCTTTTGAATGGAAGTGCAACTGAACATTGTCGTTGCAGCCCTCTGTATGTGCAAACTTATCTAACACTATGGTAATATGTTCTGAGTGGTTGCCACGGCATTGCTATGTGGTTGATAAGGTGTTCTGAGTGGTTGATAGTTGCTGACCATTCTGAATGGATACAGGTGGTTGCTTACTGACTGAAGTCAAAAGTGCCCATTGCATTTGCGTGAATAGATATGACTTGAGTTCCTACTTTTTCACTGTAAGTCTACACAAATTCCCCCAGGTGATACGCCAGGTGAGATTCAGGTGAAAAACGTAAGTCTGATATACAGTAGCTTAGAAAAGTAATGGCACACATCTCTTCAACAAACTACAGTACATAATTTGTGTTACCAATCATGTTGGTAACACAAATTGGTTGGATGAATTTCCCTCCAAAGTTTCATACTTTTTGGAGTTTGGGGTTTTGAAAAACGAACAAAAACAAACTACAGTACACTACAGTATGAGCTGCGGTGCTCACGTGAGAGATGCAGGTTTGAAACAAGCCTGATCCCATTCCCGCTGTCTTCCACCCCATAACTTCTGGTCTGCTCTCTATGGTCTCTATAATAAAAACTTGCAAAAATACCCAAAAAGAAAAAAAAAAAAGAAACAGTCAATACAGTGTTTAATGCGAATCTAATTGAAATCTTGTGATGCATGAAATCCGATTTCAGTTTATTTGGATGCTTAATTGCTTTGTAACAGACATTTTTTGTGGAAATTCCCACAGAATTTCCCATACTGACTGACTGACCTTAAAAGCATGGCACATAATGGGAACAATCCCATGGGCCCATCCCATTTTTTCATCTTTTTATTTCCCTTGAGTAAAAATAAAACTGAATGGAAAGTTATTGAAACCTGTCATAAAATTTACATGATTAAGGAGGTTGACTATTTCAGTACAAACAAAATCATACCTGTCAATTATTGTTAACTCAAAAAAAAAAAAAAAACAGCAAAATATATGTAAAACATCTTACCTTGCTTGTACGAAGCTTGACAAGGGAACTTTCAGCTTTTGGGTCAATCTCAGGTTCCTTGGCTGTATTTGTATTTTGATATCTCTGAAGTTCCTCATAGAGTCCCTCAGGTTGAGGATCTCCTCTAGTTGTCTCCTTTAGCCTTGAGTTTTGATCCTCTGAGTTTGTCAAATTCTCACAGTTATTGGTGTTTGAGTCTGTACATGTTAAATGTTCTGGCATCTCTGCCGATATCTGAGCAGAAGCATCATCTCCAGATTCAGGAAAGGACCCCTCATGGATGGTCTGGAGTTTTGAGGAACAATCATGCCATGTCTCCATTGTGTCAGTTTTCCCAGATGGTTCCAGTTGAAAAGTTTCACAAGCAGGTGTTTTAAAACTTCCATCCTTTAACACCACATGATCAGGACATTTAAAAATGCCATCACCCTGATTTGCATTGTCTTGTAGACTTTGAGTCACTATGTGATGTTTGCACACTATACTTGCTTTATTAGCATCTAAGCTAGCTTCTGGAATGTGATGAGTTTCTTGAGAAGTTGACGATGATAAAAAGTTTGGGATCATAGTTTCATCTGTGCATGAGCATTCAACTTTGCCAGATGTTAAAATCGTCTGTTCAGACATTTCACAACAATGTCCTTCCACAATAATGTGTTGGTCAGCAGATTTCTGTTGTGAGTCAGAGGTGGGAGGTTTATTAGTTATGTCTGTAATTCCGCTTGTGACACTCATGTGCTCAAGTAACATCTGACTACTCACAGTGACCTTCACTAATGATTCTATATTTTCTACAGAAGTTCCACTTTTGGTAGAAGTCAGCTCAGAACAGTCAACTTTGAAAGAATTGTTTAAGGAGATACTGTCCTTTAACTCAGATGATAAATCGTTCGTTCCCTCTGTTTGAGCCAATACTGTGGTAGTAGGCACAGAATGTGTCAGGCTATGGGGAGAAGATACTTTATCCTTGTTTAGTTCCTTATTATCTGGATCTCCATTGTGAGCTTGCAAATTTCCCGAAGCAGAACACTGCAATTCATCTTGATCTGCCAAGTTGTCTGAAGGTAGCCTACTATCTTGGTCACTCTTGTGCCGTGCTGTCTCGTTGACAGTATCGCCAGGCATCAATGTTCGGCCCTTTGCACCATCGCAGTTAGGTTGAGATCCACCCTGAAACTTCTGTACTATCTTCTCCATCCTTTTCATTCCATCTCCACTACCATTTTCAGGGCAGGATAAAGTCCAAGGCTGGCGATGACCACACTCGGGCATCGAGGCACACCTGCCACGCCTGTACCGCACATGGCAGCAGACCAAGTCTAGGTCATCATAGCTGTACTGTAATCCTGTGCGTGGGATCACATGATCCTCCCAGCTTCTTTTATGAACGGCAACAGGCATGGCCAGATCCCTCTGCTAGCCCATAGAGCCTTATTATTACAACCCACGGAAAGCACAAAACCAGATACAGGTCCTTCTGCAGAGAAAGAGAGCATTTCTTACTTCATTGTCAAACACTTACAAGTAATGACACAATCTTTATATGTGAGAGAAATGAAAATGCCACGTGTAATGAATGCTATTTACATTGAATCTCAAGTGCTCTTAAACTTGTTTAGTCAGAAAAGTCTGTTCTATGTTACACTGAAAAGCGCATTAACAACTTAATGCCACAAACCTTGTGAACATTATAAATACTATAGATTTATTTTTTTAACAATTAAGTGTACACTGACCAACATTGAAGTGTTCACAGCTTTTGACTTATTTTGGATACTTACAGAGATGAGATATATTTATTATATATATATATATATATATATATATATATATATATATATATATATATATATATATATATATATATATATATAATATTTAAAAGATTTCAAAAACGTCTGCATAAATCGTGAAGAAAAAAAATAGACAAATCACATTTACCCTTGCGCCAAGTGTTGAGTCAGCCAAGCATTTCAGCAGACCCTCCACCCACTTAAAAGTACAGTAATACTTCTCTACATTTTGCACAAGTCATTCTTCAGTGATTAGCCATCAATGACTGACTTCTTTTTAAAATTAGACCAGAAGGAAAGTCTCAAGATGGAAAGAAGTGGAGTAATAAAAGACCGTTGGGGGAAAACCACACAGCATGGTGAAATGTCAGAAGCTCTTGTAGTCCCTTAGGTCTGATAGATCTTCATGACGTTTATGTGAAGTCAGCAGTTAGCGGCGAGCGTTCAGAGAAGGTCCTAACCAGGACATTCCTCTCACATCTGGCTAGAAGTTACTCCCTCTGTGGAACATCTGGTCACGAAGTCCAGCCTGACAGAGCTCGGTTTCCTTTGCCAAGCGCTTTCGTGAATTATTAATTTTCGATAAAGACAGTTATCTTCATAAAGAAAGATAATCCTTAGTTGCTCACGTCACTGACATCCTGAACTTACTTTGTCCATTTTTGGTAATGTCTAAGTCTCAGTATTAGTCGGTAGTCCCTGCTGGAATAACTGAATATCCTAATTTGTATATAAACAACAAAAACGTGACAGTAAGCCAGCGCAGTGGATATTTTTAAAGAGACTGATAAGCAGATGGACAGTCTAAGTATTACCTGAACGATTCTTCTCTTGTCCTCCTTTTCCTCTGGCCTTGTGAGTGTGTCACCCCGTGTTGGTACCGTTCGTCTGTGGCGATGGAGCGGTCAGTTACCCACTCTCCCCGTCGTGTGGTGAGCTCACCCTCTGACACAGCTAGCTCTGTTCTCAAGCCAGCCAGGACGTCAAGGTCATGTGTCTCCAGGGGTCAACAGCTTCTCTATGGTCCAAACAATTCCTGCTTTGAAGAGGTCTAAAGAGAAATACAGAAGAAATACATTGTATTAAATAATTCTCCAAGGTGATATAGATATGAATTTTGTTTGAAGCCTCTAGACTAGTACTTCAGTTCTGTTGATATATCAAATGTTCAGCTGTCAGAACAGCAACGCTCCTCTGCAATAAGAGTCCCTAATTGGTTCTGCAACCAATTTGCGTTATTCCTTCAATGAAGCGGTTTGGAAAGATGATGCAAGAACTCCACAAGAGGGAGGAGGAATCTTTCGCTTTGACCAATCTCTCCCCAGACGTCTGGGGCGATCACTGATATTGGTCAGTTCCTGTTGAAACCTTTTCTCCCTGGTAGACACAAGGAGGAGGAGAAGAAAACAGAGACACGTGGAGCTTGAAAAGTGGAGAGCATGTTGTCATCTTGACGACATGTTCTTTTTGTTTTTGACAGTCTCAAGTCACTGTTTCTCTTTCCCTCTCTCCTCCTCCATCTCTTGCTTTCTCAAATTCTTTTTTTAGAAACAAGCCTCTTCATATCCTCTCTATGTGCAGTTCTTCTGGAAACTGACAGTTGTATACTTTTCTTACTTTTCTCTCTCTCTCTCTCTCTCTCTCTCTCTCTCTCTCTCTCTCTCTCTCTCTCTCTCTCTCTCTCTCTCTCTCTCTCTCTCTCTCTCTCTCTCTCTCTCTCTCTCTCTCTCTCTCTCTCTCTCTCTCTCTCTCTCTCTCTATCTCTCTCTCTCTCTCTCCTTTTCTTTCCCCCCTCCCTATTTCCGTGCTGTTCATAACATTTAATTCTTCCTATAAAATCGGCATGCCACATTCTCTTTTCTCTCACAGACATTCTCACACAGACACACACACACACACACACACACACACACACACACACACACACACACACACACACACTCTTTCCACGCCTCTCTCTGTGTGTGTATTAGTGTCTTAGCTGGGAAAAGCACTCTCCGGTTTTGATTAGAAGCAGACAGGGTGCTGTGTAAAGGTTTGAGTCAGAGGGCCAAGTCAGATTGCAGTAATGCTTTGGCACTCATTTCTGATAACTAACACAACAGCTCAAGCATTCTTCTTATGACTGTTGCAAGCATTTATTTATCTAAACTCAACTAACCACCCTTTACACAAGCATTGTTACAGTATATTTAAAAGTCCAATGCACATAAAGGTAGTAAATGATAAGTATACATTTATAAACATTTACAAATAATGAATAGTTTCAACTTTAGATCGAAAACTGCAAAAAAAAAAAAAAAAAATAATAATAATAATAAATGAATTGTATAGATGTGTAAGGGTGAATCCAGGTCATTTGAGGCACTCTTTTGCAATTGAGATGACTGTCCAAGGTACTAAATGAAATAATGAATAGGTTCAAGATTGGGTACTGCAAAAACATGAACAAATAAATGGTTCGTAAAAACAACAAACGAAGAATGTATTACCAGACTGTGGTTATGAGTTGAATAACATGAATAAGTGTATAAGTGTAAAGTGCTTAAAATTCAACATTTGTAAAATGTCTGTTAAGCATTTTGTTAACAATTTATTAATTTAAGCTTTAATCATTAAACCATCTGTCAAAATCATTTGTAGATTTTTAAAAAGTGCATGATTGTATGAATTGAAAGATTATGACATTTGTAAGCATTTCAATTTAAACAATGATCTGTTAATCATTATGTTTACAGTAATACGTTCGTAAACATTTATATTTTTACTAGCATACTCATATTTCTAGCTATGTGAATATATATTCACTAATGATCTGTTAAGCATAGTTTAATGTTATTTATTAATTAAACTTATTATAAAGTGTTACCCATAATGGTAATTTTGGTGCAAAACACATTTTGGTTTCACTTTATTTTGATGGTCCCTTTAACATGTTCTGTTGACCACAACAAGTAACGTTGCACATACATGTTTACTAACTCTCATTAGAGTGATAGTAGAGTATTAATAGACTGGTAGGGTTAGGGTTATAATAAGTTGACATGTAGTTGCAAAGTTACTTATAGTCAGTAGAATGTATGTTGGAGGAGCATCACAATAAAGTGTTAGCAGATAAAGCAGACAGTCTACTAATACTCTAATGAGAGTTAGTTGACATGTAGTTGCAAAGTTACTTTGAGTCAACAGAATGTTCAAAAGGGACCTTCAAAATAAAGTGTTACCCAAGTTTTTATTGCTTCAACACTTAGTATACTATAATAGAGGATATTCCTTGAATCATACATCAACAGGAAAAAAAAAACAACAACTTGTGTTTCAAAAATAAAATAATAGTTCATTTATCAAAACAATGTAATACAAACAGTCCGACGCGTGTTCTCTTATAGTAATCAAACTGACCCATGTATGTTGACCCCTTAACCAACCCTTACACCAACCTTACCCATACCCGTATCACACCTCAATAGCAGCAAGGGTGTTTTGCAATATAACATAACACAATAAATACATTGTACCTAACAAATATTATTATTATTTGTATTATTATGTTGTAAGTACATAGTAAAGACACCTAATATAAAGTAAGACCAGTCACTCTTTTATTGTTCAGTTTTCTCTTGAACATCCAGTTCACTTGTAGCTTAACACCTTTTTTGCATTTGTAAATGTAAAAATGCATTAGGACATTTGTAAGTATTTTAATTTACATTAAATAATGATCTGTTAAGCATTATAATGTTTGTTAATTATTTATTAATAAAAGTTATTATAAAGTGTTATAAACACTTAAACTCTATAATAATAATAATAATAATTAGCTCAAACCTCCTTACACAAATACTTGACAAAATTGATAAAATAATTATTGCCGTTATTATAGTTTATTATTGTTGTTTTTGTTGATATTATAAAATTATTATAGACTATATAAAATTACTATTTTTTTTACTATATATATTTTTTATATTAACAGAAACTTTCTAAAATTAAAAAAATAACTATAATAATAATAATTATAATAATTATTATTAGTTATTTTTTAATAGGTCTTAAAAAAAACCACTAGAACTGTTATAGCCAGGATTGCTTGAGGGACATTTTTCTCCATATCTTGGAAAAGTTCCATGTCAAATCTCTTTGACAGTGGCTTACTTGTTCTTGGGCAGCTTCAAAATAAAACAAGGTATAGTGCATTTCACTTTGTGAGTTGGCTATTCATTACCTAATATAGACATGTTTCTTGACGGTCACCCTTTCTCTCTCTCTCTCTCTTTCTCACTGTCGATTTGTTGTTTAAAGGGAAAGGACTTGGAACCCATACAGAGTAAATGGACGTTCACACTGACACCCTTTTGCAGTGGCAAAGCGACCGGAAGTCATTCTCTCTCAATGGGGGTTGGCAATTTCCTGCAACATTGATTGTTGGTGACATGAGTGTGTCCAGCAACACAACACAGTTTAGAAAAGCGTAACCATATGCAAATAATCTAGGCAAGACAGAGGCTAATGTTACTATTGGGATTTGATGTTAATGTTATGATTTAAAGGAATAGTTCAACAAAAAAAGAAGAAGAAATATTCTGTCATAATGTACTCACCCTCATGTTCGTAGCCAAGCCATTATGGTTTCCATTTTTTAAAAAAGAAACATTTTTCAAACTATCTTCTTTTATGTTCCACACACGGATGACATGAGGGTGCACGAGTTAATGATGACATAATTAAAAAAATGTGAGGTATACTTTGCCTTGAACTATATGATTTGTTTCTAGCCACATGGAACAATATATTCCATCTATTCATTCATCAATTCATCCATCTTCCTGTTATTCCTGCTTATTTGCAGGGTCCGCTTCACACACACATTTGTTTAGCACACATTTTATGCCGGATATATATATACACACACACACACTTGAAAACAATGCCACATGGCTGGCATTCTGAATGAGTGATCCATATATTGATACTCATTCATCTTATTCATGATATATCACACACAGCAGGAGTTTATATCTAAACACTTTCCTCTGCAATATTCATATTTTATTTCGCAGCAAGAAAATGGATTTCTTGTCCAAATAAAATGACAATGTATTTGACTAGAAATCCCTTACATTCAATACAGCCAATAACTCAGCTCACCATAAACCATTTTTTTTCAGTGGCTTTCAAAAAGTGGTGAGGATTTTTTTTTTACTTTGGCAAATGTTGGGGACATTAGACCCTTCTCAACTGCAAATTACGCCTATGGAAATACAAAAATCTTCTAAGCAGTCAAATAATATGAGTTACATATTAATACTATTAATAATAATATTAATATTACTTTAGATGTGTAATGTCAAATGCTCTTTTGAAATTTCTACTAATCAAAGAACCCTGAAAACAGCAGATTAGAATGATTTATGAAGGATCATGTGACACTGACGATTGGAGTAAAGAGGCTGAAAATTCTGCTTTGACATCACATAAATGAATTACATTTTAAAATATATGAAAATAGAAAACAGTTTTTTTTTTACTTTTAATTATATTTCATTTTACCACGCAACACAGGCTCATTGAAAAATGTACCTGTGGCAACATTTTAGCTAAATGTTCATATCACTGCAGTTTCTAACAGAAATGAACACTGGAGGCAGTAAAACAGCAAGCACGCACAATTATGATTACAGGGCAGATTATGGATTAATAAAGACTTGTTTTCACGCGGCTCCTTGCAAAATGATGCTGTGACCTCAAACCACTTTTTACCATAGTGCATGATTTGTAAACTAATACATTTTAGAGTTTGCATCACTTAACCAGCTCCATATTTTAGGTTTTAACGGAAGACTAAGCTTGCTCGGTAGCTCAGCTGTAGCCCACAGAGGTGTAGGCCTACTTGTGATGTGGAGAACTCGGGTATGAATCCCGTGGAAAACGAGTCACGCTCAAATGGTAACAATTGTGTTTTTATGTTACATTTGCATTTGTTTACACTATTCAATTCAGAACTGCGGTGATACAAACTCCAAATAAAACGTTGCCATGTACTACGGAAGC